CAAACGTCGGACTAAGGTCCTCTAAAACGGAAGGACAAACAGGTCCTCTCCACTACTTGTGCTCGGTAACAACCGCAGAGCAACAGTCAGACTGGGACATAATATACGTTATAAACGGTCCCAGAGTAAAAGAATGAAAGCAAGCAAAATTCTTCCGATCTTGACTATCTTTGCACTCTGATGAAAAAGATCTTCGAAGAAGGAAATTTCCAAGGTGAAATGTTTAATAGATTAAAGCCAGGTCCAAAAACGTGAAAGACTCGCGTTATAGAAATGTTTTCCTTGAAGATTGTTTAACCTTCTATTACTTTTAGAAGGATCACTTCCAATTAACCATAAAAAAAATATAAGGTCACTTCATGACTTTGTTTCCTTTTTCATTATTTAGTCAAATTTACCAGAATAATATTTAAATTTTAATGTGGAAATTCAAAAGTTGCAAACGGGTGTATAATGTGTTCACCCAGAAGCCTTTGAGTGGAAGTCAGTAAAAATTATGTGTATCAAACGTTATAAAAAAAATGATGAATCCACCTTAGCTACCACAACCGGAAGCTAGTATGATTATGTAACACCATATGTTACATGTCCCTTCACTTATCACTTTCTATCATCAACAACTTCAGATCATAGGCATTAACAAAGAGCTTCTCCATCCTGCGGATGCCAAAATAATGGTTGATGCTTGCCTTATCTGTTAAATGAAAAGCGTGAAATAAATCTTCATGCATTCCAATGGACTGAAAGAAAGCAGAAGATGATAATGCATGTATATCACTCAAAATGAAATGACCTTTCTTATTTTTAATACAGGATATGCATGGATACAACTCACATCATTAGCACAAAAAGAATTTTGTCAACACAAAAAAGAATTTCGCCAAAAGAAATAAGACTTATTTTATTATGATGTTATCTGTTACGTCTGTCGACAGTGAACCACTCATGTAACGGGTTTCCATGTTCATATGTAGAACTAGTGCACTATGACATTTGTCACAGCTGGCCAGAAAAGATCAATCAATTAATGAATTAAACATTAGTATGTACATTTGTTTCAAGCCAACACACCAACTTTTACACCTGATCATATTGTTAAAATGCAAGAAACGTTTACTGTGTGCAAGTAGGTAAAAAATTTGGAGAAGCTAATGTCCAAGATACTGAAGGGGCTATGTTACATTTTAAAACCAGGACAAACTAATAAAAAACGAAAAAAAAATACACGTAGATAATATATGAGCAGTATGAACTAATTTTGATATCAGATCCTTCAGAATGTAATGTCAAGAAATTTGAATGCATTTTTTTTTTCAAAATATGTTGAAGAAATCCATCAAAATCTTACAAATTCTATTGTGGGGGGAAATGAAACATGGAAAATTCGAAAAGTTGTGAATATAATAATCAGAAGGGAGAAACAAAAAGAAACTAGATGGTTATTTCAGAATGAAGCAACGAGTTTGTAAAAATAAGGTAAAAGGCTTTATCAAAAGAATCAAAATCAGATCATACTTTAAAGAAAATGATTTGGCTTTCGCAGTTTTTTGCAGTACCATGTATTGAATCCCGAAGGGATGTAGCCTTCTTTCCATAAAGAACAGTTAAAGATGTGTTGTCTTATCCTTTTCCTCTGAAGTATTGGAAATTTGTCTTTCTGAACACTCCTCAGTTATATAAGTTTCTTTACTGACCCATGGAAATGGTCCTCAGTCTTTTTTTACAAATTTGTAAAATTATCGCATGTACACCACATTTTAAAATAACTTTGGATGTTTTACACACAGAAAGACTTTTACAAAAAACTGTTTTTTTCTACATCACATTGATTCTATTTATTATGCTTGGTTCATACATCAGTAAATAGGACTTAATGACACGGTTTTTTCACAGTATCATGTCATGATGGTCCCAATACAGATTAATTGTTCTACACCAAAGCTGCACTACCTTGGGCAAAATGACCTTTCTTTTCCTGTTCTGTTTTAGTCCTACTGGTTTGTATGCTTTTCTTCTTCAGTAAATGTCCTAAGTCAGGAATATGACAGTTGGTCTCCATTCTTTCAATTGGTTGATATTGTCGAGCGTTTGTTTTTTTATGTTTTATGGACCTCAACCCTTTTTTAATTTACATTGGAGTTTGGTATTTTTGTTAATACTTTTTTTTTCATATTTGGTGTTTAAAGCTTCTCAAACTTTATTCCAAAAAACATATGCAGTGCACAAAAAATCTGTCTCATACCATTTTTAGTACTCATGTGCTAGAACAAAAAACTGCCAAGGTCAAGGGAGTAAAAATAAAATAAAAATAGATGTAACAAAACAACAAAAGAAAGAAGGCATATATTTTGTTTAAATTCAATATTAAGTAAGACTTTAGACAATCAAACCAATTCATCAGCCTACAATTTTATAACATAAGATTAATTGAATGATAGATTCGATGAACACATTTCTTGTTTCTTAATCTGACTATGGAAAAAACTTCTGCTTATTTTAACTCTCTTGTAACTCACAAATAGGTTGTATCAGAATTTTATCTTAAAAGGATAAACAAAAAAATAGGTTGATGTACATGACATAACATTGGAAAAACTATGATTTTACAATTTAGTAGATTTATATTATAGAAATGGCACTTTTTATTGTTGTTCTTCATCTTAATAAACTGGTAGTTTCCAATGTAAGCCTGTAAGTCACAGATCAACTTAAGCCTGGTATCTTTGATGTGCTTTTATGACTGTCAAATACAATACATATTATTGAATATGACTTATGCAGATTCATATGTCTTTTGGAACATTAGACATATACCTTGTCAATACAATTGATAATAAATATAATCAAAATGTGCATTCACCATACGAAAGTTTGTGAAACAGACTATGCTCCAACTTAACATGCATCTGTTAATTGAAGAGGGAATGATCACTGAAGACAATTATTAGTAGATTATTGAAAATGAAACTGAGAATTATTAGTAGATGAAGGATTTGTAACTGAAGGAACTAATTAGTAGATCAGGAACAGTTAATTGATGCTAAAGTCATAATTTATTGAGTGTTCTCTAAACTCAACCTTCCTTACTTATATGTATACTGTAGGTAGGTAAATCTTTTATTTTACAAAACTATGTTGTGGTTAAGAGATGATGAGATAAACAGTTATATAAGTAATACCTCTCATCAATGTGTTTAGAAGTCAATTTAACAGAGCTTAACAAGACTGAGACTGCTTAGTGAACAATATAGAGAATATATGAAAAAAAAAATTTTCTGCACAAATTTGAGACTGGAATTGTATACGTAGCAGTTTTTCTGGATAGGCTAAGTTTAGGGAAAAAAACAATACTTTAATTGATGACTAAATATTAGTAGATAAGGAGAATAGGTAACTGAACAATACTTTGATTGATAACTAGATATTAGTAGATCAGGAGAATAGGTAACTGAACAAGATGAAGTAACTTACTAACTACTCTGTCCTATACAAGTCTGCATAACAATTCTATTTTGAAGAACTACTTTTCTTATAAAAACATAATTATCTCCGTTAATTTTATGACATATCAACTAATAAAGAACCTAACTGATGTAATTAGCTAGCAACTGCAGATTTGTTTTGTCATTATGAGTAACCTGGAACCCTTCTGTTGATGTCATTGTGTTGATTATATTTTAATTATTTCAGAGAATACACTCATCATACAGATGTTTTATTATGTAACTAAAAACAGGTGAAGATGTGTTTTAATGCATGGAGTTCCAAAATCATACTAAAAGTAATCTGATAGTCCAAGAACTACTGATTTTTTTTTTAACAAATTTATTTTGCTGCGTACCATAAAAGGGTCAATAATATACTTAAAAGGATTACTTATATTTCAGTTAGAATTTTTAGTTGTAGACAAAAAAACAACACCTATATATCAGATTAGTTATTTAGTAGTGGTCATTATAAGTCCTTTTTGACTACCACAGTAAAAAAGGTTTACTTCAAACCCTGAAGATGAAGGAAATATTGGACAGAATGATAAATTTGTGCCTATAATATCAAACTTACATGTATCCTATGGTATACAGATGGAGGAGCTAATATTTTTTTTTTGGGGGGGGGGGGAATATGAGTTGTATAGGTTGTTGGCTTTGCTGTTCATTGACATCATCAAATATCTGCCGCAAGCCACAATGTGAATCTTTTTTGTGGGTTAATTAAATGCTTTGACATAGTGTTAAGTGGCTGATATTTCACAATATCTATATGCAGAAAACCTGATAATCTGTTTATCCTGCTATTTCTTATAATTTTCCCCTCTGGATAACTTCTAAGACATTGTGATGTCACTAATAAGTTCTGCTCACATCTCAAAGCTATGTGATACAAGAATTTATAGAGCGACTGAGCAACGTGATATAGGCTAAGGTAAGGACTATAGGGAGTATTATAAGAAATAAGAAATGTCCTTGGCAAGGTAAAATTATCTTGTATTTGGGGACTTAACATTTATATAACATCAGCAATTCATTGAATAAATTGGCATGAATCCTCCCTTCTAAGTCTATGATATATAGAAATAAGAAGATGTGGTATGATTGCCAATGAGACATAAATCTCCACAAGAGACCAAATGACACAGAAATTAACAACTATAGGTCACTGTACGGCGTTCAACAAAGAGTGAAACCCATACCACATAGTCAGAGTCTTTATAAAAAATGAAAATATGTTAAAGGGCCTACAGTACTTCTAACACAGTGAAACAGGATAAGGTGTACAATGAAATCAATGGTCTGAACCTTTTCACACTTTTATTACAAGAAAAAGCTAATTGGTTAATAATGCATATATGAACTTGTAAAGAATGAAGAATATTCACACTTCATGCTACTGAATACCATTTAGTCTTTTCTATTGCATATTTGCATAGAAGCAAGAATCTATATATATCTAGCTACTAAATGCCATTTCATCTTTTTTATTGCCAAGTGAACATGACCTACCTGTATGAGTTGTGTTAGATTCGGCATCTACCCCTTGTTTCAACTTCAATGGCGGCCGGACATGTTTGAGTTCTTCCTCAGGGGAGAAATCATTTTCTTTGATATCATCGTTACTGCAGTCTAGTAACGGTGAGAGTCTTGTCTCTAAGGATTCCTTTCTGGAGATAGGTGCAGATATACTGGTACGTTTAAGACTGATACTGCATATGTCTGCAGTCTCCTGGTCTTCATCGTCATTTTCCGGGGTATCTGCATCACCATCGTCTTTGTTACATTTGTTGATTTTATGTTTGATAAACTTGAGTATGTCTCGCAGTGGAAAGCTGGTTTGGCATTCTCCACATACAAGTAAGTCATTTTCCTGTTCCACTGCAAAAGAAAATCACAATATATAATAGGACTGACTTGAGTAACTGTCTTGGACTATACACTAAAAGACTTCACAAATGTGCTGAATGGTTCAATGAACATTTGTCCAAGCATACAATTATAATCTACTATGTCAAACAAAGTTTCACTGGACAATCTGTAATCATATAACTAAAAATCACCCAATATTATCCAATAAATGATACAGTAAACACATTATATTGGTTTTACTCATGTGCACTGCATGATGGTGGTCATCTCTTGTTAACAATGGACAAAATATTGCAACAAATTTCTTTGGAAAAACAAACTTCATTAAAAGAAATGCTAAAAGTATATTGTTGAAAATATAAACAAAACTAAATGACCAAAACTTTAGTTCGTTATTCTTTGAATCTGAATCAAAATGCATTTATCTTCAGTAAATTACATTAAGAACCAAAAAATAAACATTTTCATGCTAAATTTTCTTTTAAAATCATCAGGATTACTAATGGAGAAAATAATACCTCCACAAGCAAGGAATCCAATAAAGATTTAAGGAAAGGTAAGACAATGTATTTTCCATTACACTAGGTACTCAGGTAAGCTAATAAGATAAAGTAACTAAAGCAATACTTCAGTCCTTTCATTACATGTTGGGGATTATATCGATTAAGGAGCAGTCCAGACAAATCCCTTGCACCTGATTAATACACTTCCTATTCTAATCTTTTGATCTATACCTAACCAAGATCAATGGTATGTCTTCTCCATCTTGAATGATACAGGAAGACAAAACATTCTGTACTATACTTACTCATTAAGAATATGCAATTTATTACACTTTCAAAATAATAAATTGTCAATGGAATTGTTCACCAAAAACCCAAGAATGATGAAGTGAACATTGTGCATGTTTTCTTTTTGTTTTAATGAAGTACAATTTTTCTTAAAGATAATAACTTTAATGTACTTTCAAGGTTGATCTGTAGGTCAGTGACATTTATTCACAAGAAAGTCTTGAGGCATTTTCTAGAATTTAATATTGAACAAAGTTGAATAAATTTATAGTGTAGAATTTTTTCTAACTGCGCTAACTGCACTGTGTAGTACATTTTGTAAACTTATATTAATGCAGTAACTCAAAAAAAATTGTCATTGTGATCAGAACTACAAATTAGTAATCATGAAATTGAATTTTTTAAATTATAAACCATGGTAAATATCCATTAAAATCAATGATACAATGAAACAGAATATTCTTTTGAGGAGAAAAACATTTCTTTTCATAATTTGTTTTATTTATAACAGCTGATTTTGTACACACAATTAGTGTACACATTTTCTAACTTTTTATTACAGAATCTTTTAAATATTACTGCAGCTTGAATATATTGTGCTCATCACAGAATAAGTCAATGATACAATGAATCCTAGTGCCCTTTATCTTTTTTGTCAATTTTAAAACATTCATTATTTAAATTTTAAATTTTATAAAGGACATTCACATTTCATACAATATATCTATACAGTATTAATGGTTTAACAATAAAAAAACATAGACTGTCTTAAGGCTATATATTCATTTCTGATTTTTTATAAACACTCATCTTCTTTTTTAAGATTCCAGAAACTACAAAATGCTATTTTTAGATGTCAAAACCAACAAAGAGAGAAGACATATCAATACATGTTATAAATACAAGTATGTTGACATTGGAATTAGTTTAAATACACAAATGTATAAAATTCAAGATTAAAATGCATGTAAAGACTCATTAACTTCTTTGGAAAGCAATTTCATCTAAAAAAAAAAAAAAAAGAAAGATTCATATGCATTTTATTTTTATTTTTCAAAATCATTTCAAGTTTTAATTTTACAACTGCAAACAATTTATCAGTTCTGAAGAAAAGCATATGACCAAAATCCATGGAGACTGCAAAATTATGTCTTGACATACCGATATATGGAATAAAATTTAATAATGTCACGTTACCATGACACTAGATAAGTTGTTATGCAGTGACAAATGACATCAGGGTGACAAAGGTATGTGTCATGACTGCCATAGAGAAGGATAAATATCTTCCTTTCTTATTAATTCACAGGAACATATAACACAGATTTATCAAGCAGAAATCAATACTTGCAGCAAATATGCAAACGTCTTATGCACTGACCATAAATTACTCTGGTCTTTAATTACACAAAAATTTAAAAACAATCCTTCCAACAATTGAGTATGAGTTTACGTGACTTCCGTTTCAATCAGTTCTGAAAGGTTCTTTCTATGTAATGTTTAGATTGATTGATTGATTGGTGTTTAACCCCACTTTAAGCACTATTGGCTATTTTGTGGAGGTCAGTTTTTATTGGTGGAGGAAGCTGGAGTGCCCTGAGAGAACCTTTGGTAGGAAAAATGACAATCCTAGTCAATTAAGGTTGGAGTCAAAAGCACCTCCCTTACGCTGGATTAAAACTCGCAACCTCAGTGTTGACAGGCTAGTGATACAGTAGTTGGACTACTTACACCATTCAGCCACTGAGGTCCCAATAATATTTAGAAAACCAATGCTTGTTTTTCCCATTTGCAATGGTGTTGTCTGTCCTTGATAAACAGATTCTGGTTGCCCCTTTGGTATTCTTTTGATTCTGACATTACATATTGAGTTGTCTCATTTGCAATCATACCCAATCTGCTTTTTTTTATATTAGCTCATTGACTATTAAAAGGATACTGTTGAATTATTTATTTTCGTTGGTACCAATTTTTGTTAATTGAAGAAAACTTGCATTTTCATGGATATTTGATGTCACGATTTTGCCAAAGTTTGCATACAACTTTTTAAAAAATCTGTAATTCGTTGAACATTTTAATTCCTGGTTCACCTGAAACAACGAAATCCCAAAATATTGGTGTCCAATGAATAATAATGAATCCAGAGTAGCAGGAATTACCACAAGTATTAGACAGTACAACAGACCACAAAAACACCTCAACTCCTGACAGTACAACAGACCACAATAAAATGCTCCGCTGGGGCGTAGCTTGATACGACCGCAGAGGTCGAACCCTGAACAGTTGGGGCAAGTATGGACACAACATTCAAGCTTGATACAGCACTGAATTTGGATTGTAATTAAATATTTGACACAGCATAGGTTTCTCACACAGAATGAAAGTGGTCTAAGAACTTAAAATTTTTTAATTTACCTATTCAAACCATATCATTATTATTTGCTTTAATATATAAATAAGAAAAAACCAATTTAAAATGGAAAATTTTAAAGAAAAAAAATGAACAAAAATCCCCCCAAATTTGTTGAACCCCCTTATGATTCATCACCCCCAAACTCAATCCCAGCTTTCCCTTTGTGGTATGGTACCTTGCAGTACAATTTCAGAGAGATCCATACACTTGAACACAAGTTATTGTCTGGAAACTAGAAAAATGCTTGTTTTTTTGCCCTTTTATGGCCCCTAATTACTAAAATTTTGAGGGAATTACCCCCAAAATCAATCCCAGCCTTCCCTTTGTGGAATGGTACCTTGCAGTACAATTTCAGAGAGATCCATACATTTGAACACAAGTTATTGTCTGGAAACTCGAAAAATGCTTATTTTTGGCCCCTTATTCCTAAACTTTTTGGGCAATTACCCCCAAACTCAATTCCAGCTTTCCCTTTGTGATATGGAACCTGGCAGTACAATTTCATAAAGATCCATACACTTACACACAAGTTATTGTCATGAAACTAGAAAAATGCTTGTTTTTTTGCCCTTTTATGGCCCCTAATTACTAAAATTTTGAGGGAATTACCCCCAAAATCAGTCCCAGCCTTCCCTTTGTGGAATGGTACCTTGCAGTACAATTTCAGAGAGATCCATACATTTAAACACAAGTTATTGTCATGAAACTAGAAAAATGCCTATTTTTGGCCCCTTTTTGGCCCCTTATTCCTAAACTTTTTGGGCAATTACCCCCAAACTCAATTCCAGCTTTCCCTTTGTGATATGGAACCTTGCAGTACAATTTCATAAAGATCCATACACTTACACACAAGTTATTGTCATGAAACTAGAAAAATGCTTGTTTTTTTTGCCCCTTTTTTGCCCCTAATTCTAACATTTGGAGGCAATTACCCCCAAAATCAATCCCAGCATTCCCTTTGTGATATGGAACCTTGTGATACAATGTCAGAGAGATCTATACACTTACACACAAGTTATTGTCATGAAACTAGAAAAATGCTTGTTTTTTGCCCCTTTTTTGCCCCTAATTCCTAAAATTTGGAGGCAATTACCCCCAAAATCAATCCCAGCATTCGCTTTGTGATATGGAACCTTGTGGTACAATGTCAGAGAGATCCATACACTTACACACAAGTTATGTCTGGAAGTTACAAAAATGCTTATTTTTGGCCCCTTTTTGGCCCCTAATTCCTTAACTGTGGGTACCATAACCCCCAAAATCAATCCCCACCTTCCTTTTGTGGTATTGAACCTTATGGTAAAATTTCATTGAGATCCATTCACTTAAACTAAAGTTAGAGTGCGAAAACTAATGTGTCTTCGGAAGACGACGACGATGCCAACGTCATACCAATATACGACCACAAAAATTTTTTGCGTTCGTATAAAAAACCTCAACTCCTGACAGTACAACAGACCACAAAAAAACCTCAACTCCTGATAGTACAACAGACCACAAAAACACCTCAACTCCTGACAGTACAACAGACCATAAAAACACCTCAACTCCTGACAGTACAACAGACCACAAAAAAACCTCAACTCCTGACAGTACAACAGACCACAAAAACACCTCAACTCCTGACAGTACAACAGACCACAAAAAAACCTCAACTCCTGACAGTACAACAGACCACAAAAACACCTCAACTCCTGACAGTACAACAGACCACAAAAACACCTCAACTCCTGACAGTACAACAGACCACAAAAAAACCTCAACTCCTGACAGTACAACAGACCACAAAAACACCTCAACTCCTG